CTTCTCCACACGCACCAGGCCGCCTCCACTGCCACTGCTTGCCCGGATAGTGTCACCGCATGCTGTGCCCCCACCCTTGAGCTCGACCCACGCCAGACCTGCGCGTTGTCCTCAAGCTCGACCCGTGTTGATATCTACTCTTGCCTGCGCGTCGTCGCCACCAGTCGTCGTCCATCGTGGTGTGGGGCCTCCCTTCCGCCAGCTGCGTGTCCTCGCCTCCGCCGCTACTCCTCCCTGTGCCCACCGCCGCTCGCTCGCCCCATCCCCACTCCTGCCCTATCTCGAGCTCTTCTACTTACCTGTCGTTGCGTACCTAGGAAGGAGAGGGAAGTGAACTCAAGGAGAGTGCTCTTCTGATCCCAAATCGTGTATTCTCCATGAAAACCCTTCTTTTGTCATATTCGGATCCTGACATACTATATAGCTACGATAGTCACGACAAGGACACTATATATCATTTGTTTGCTTAATCAAAGTGTGTCTTTTAGTGGCTTCAATAAAACCATTCACATCTTGTGTGTAGGAAGCTTCATGTCTTTGTTTCATGTACATCCATAACCTATCCACAAGGTATATTTATATGAAGATATTATTCACATATAACTAGTGAAGGAATTATCTAATTCTTTTTTGTATAAATATTATATTATTCTAGACCTAGAGCTTATATAAAAAATAATTTTAAGAGTTGTGAACCAAAAATGACAAAAAAATATGTAAATTAACTAGAGTTCATGTGAGCCAAGTAAGTTGGGCAAAAAAACAAACTAAATTGCTAGAAAAAATAAAAAGTGTCAAGCATCATGTATCTCCCTATCTACGTGAGAACAAAAAATTAGTGAAAGAAATGTATTCGTAAGATTTGAAAAGATTTTAGAGATGGCACAAACTCACCTCTCAAACCAACTCCTTCAACTGTTCAAAGGGCAAAACCTCCTCCTCTTTTTTTACAATTTCTCACCTCCAATGGAGCTCAACAATGGCATGAACAGCTACAGCCACGAGGAGAAAGAAACATATTCGTAGGGGGTTTATTTTTAGGGGCGGTTGGCTAAGAACACCACCCCTGTTATCAGATTTTAGAGGCGATTCTTTTAAGAGAACCGTCCCTCAAACTGTCATCTAGAGATGATTCGGTAAAGATGTTCATCCCAAAAATACTATTTTCAGGTGCGGTTCTCTAAGGCAAGCCGTCCCTAGAAATGGATATGTTTCCAGGGGCGGTTTTCTTAACGGAACCGTCTCTGAAAATTTTACTTCCAGCAACGATTGTGTGTAAAAATTATTTCTATACTAGTGTTTTATTAGATTTTATATTGGTGTGTATCGTATATGCGAATAATCCCATGCTGGCGTGCTTGGAATTGAACTTGATTAGATTGGATCCATGTTAATTTTTTGAACTAGTTGTTTCGTTAAATTTTAACAATCATGTCATTAGGAAAATATGCTTCCGGCATTGAGAAAAGAACTATTTGAGATATATGTGTCCAGAAAGGTTAAACGGTCCGTCCCTGGTCGGAATAAATTTCCAACTATTTTTAGGAAAATTTATCAGGTTTGGCGGATCCTGATAAAGTGGCCTGGCTCCCTCCCTCTGAAGGAATTTTTAAGATAATTTAACATGTATGAGTTGTTTTCTAGAAATATTACTTTTGCATATGTACTTAAGTGTTTATTAGTAACATTACGTCGTTCACGTGTATATAAGGGCCTAGATTTTGGTTTCGCCCGGCCCTGAAAACTCAGGACCAAACTTGATAAAATGCTTTCGTTTTTTTAATATAGAGTTTTTTATCAAGCACTTAGATATATAATATATCTAGATATATAGTGAAAATAATATATCTAGAGAAAAACCAAAACGTCTTGTATGATTATTGGATTACATGTAAAATGTAGGTATCGATTTCACCTTTTTTAAAAGCTCATAATAATTATATTGACATTCCTATGCGTTCTACTGTCTATTTGCGAGTCTCTGAAACATATCGTAGCATATTCTTCTAGGTCCGCGTTCGGACGCTGCTTCCCACACTTGCTCCGTGCCGCACGCCTCGCTCACTTGGGTTCTGCGCCACTCGAACGACTCATGCTGCACCCATGCTGCCCACCTCCACGCGGGCCCATGCAGCACGCTGCTCCCCACGTCCCGTGCCTGCTTCGTGCCGCACGCCCCGCTCACTCGGATTTCGCGCCACCTGAACGACTCGTGCCCCATCCACGTTGCCCGCCCCCACGCGGACCCACGCCGCCTGAACATCACCAGTGTCGAGAATGAGGAGACACCGAGGCAAGGCAGCAGAAGACGAGAAGAGAGGTGCAACATCAGATCTACTTTTGAAAAACATCCAGTTATAACACTTGCAACATGCATATGAAGACATATAAAATGTTTGAAACATGCGTTTGAAACACTTACAAAAAACACATGAAACACTTGAAACCATTGCAACACATACGCAACATCCAGATAAAACACTTTCAACATATGTGTAAAACATATGCAACATCTAGATAAACACATTTGCAGCATACGTCTGAAAAAACAGATGAAACATTGGGAACGAATGATTGCAACATAAGTTACAATATTGCAACATATGCAACATCCCGATCTGCTTTTGCAACATCCATATGAAACCCATGTCCATACCTCTGAAACAACTGAAACACTTGAAATATACGCTAGCAACATGCGCTTTCAGCGCAATGTCACCTTGCTGCTTAGACGAATGGAGCTCATCGTTGTGGAGCTCGACGCCGGCGCGGAGCTTGATGCCACAGAGTGAAAGGAGGTCACCGGTGCCCGTGATGGACCACCAACGGAAGAAGGCCCTGACGCGGATGCCATCGAGGCCTGAGATGCAGCGGTCGTCGAGGTAGCCCGTGAGGCGGTCGCTAAAGGCGGTGAGGTAGCTCCCCACGGGCAGCAGGATGTGACATCTGGAGCGGAGGTCAACGACGAAAGTCCCTAGAGCCGGTGTCGAGCGTGTAGGCCCGCACGTTGGCCGGGAGCAAGCCATGCCGGGAAGCCCTGGAGGGAAAGCTTGTCGTACGCGGTGGTGGCCGTGTGGTGACGAAGTGGAGTCCGGGTGGGCGAGCGGGAGCAGGAACAACGCCGCGAGGAGGGCGACGAGGAGGTGGTGCGCCATCGTGGGTTCGTCGCGCGGGTCAGAGATCGAGGGGGGCGGAGCCATGGACGGCTAACCCTAAGGAGAGCGACGGCTGCTAATTATAGAGTCTTGGGCGTCACCCCCCTGGACGCGCCCCTTAATGGGTCCAAACACGATACACGGTCCAACGGACCAAAAGACGGTGTCCCAGCACCCTGGCAGATTTTGGGCGCTGACTTGTTTTGACGATTTTCCGTGGATTCCGAAGGACTTTTGATGTGAGACCACTTGCATTGGCTTCCTTATCTAATTAGCTTTCCATCCATATGTGGATCGTCGAAAACGGAGCTCAGACGCGCCCGTGTGATCAGTTTTATGACAGACTGGTCCTGAAACCCGAGATGTGCTCCAACTTCAGTTGGACTGGGCCTCCACCATGAGAAAGATGAATTGGACGCCCATACTGAACCTCCTCCTCTTCTTGGCTTGTATGAGACGAAGTAGTGATGTCCTCGTCAGGAGGGAAATGGGGAGACATGCGGACGCAGTAGAACAATCCGTAATGGGAGGAGTCGGGCGCTGTTGAAATGTCCGGATGGGAGTTACAGGACAGATCACTGCGGTTGCCCTGGGCCACCTGTCCGTAGGACCAGCGATGTGGCGTCTGGACGGACGGGACGAACGGATGTCCTGACCCAGCATTATCGCTTCTTATTTACCTTCTTTTTTTTTTCTTCTCGCCCGTGGGACAATTTCTTCTTGTTTTTTAGCTGAATGAAGGCACGGAAAGACAATAACCCTTCTTCTGTGACGACTCATCAAGATATCTCTTATTATCAAACGAGTTTACTTTGGCCGCCAGACAGGGCATCCACGTCGCCCGAAATTTTTCCAGCCGTTCGATATCGCGTTGGACGTCCCAGATTTGTTGTAGCGGATTTCGTCGTAAGCGGCTTCCCCTGCTTCTCCTCGCCTTTTACGGCTTCTCCTCAGCTTCTGCTCGGCTTCTCTGGCTCCTCGTCGGAATCCGCCCAAACCAATATATTCGCGCCTCCTGATTCAGCTTCTAGACACTTCTCCTTTCCCCATCCTCTCTCCTCTTCCCTCTCTCCCCCCAACGGCCGACGGGCGACGGCAGGGCGACGGTGCCTCGCGCCGGCCTCGACCCGCGCCTGCCGACGGCCTCGCCCTCCTCCTCCTCCCCCCTCGCGTCGCCTCGTGCTAGCCGGACCACTGCCGGCGGCGCACCGCATTAAGCGGTGTCGGCCCGCGACGGCGCGGCGACAGGAAACCCTAGGTGCCTCTCCGTCTCCTGATCTGTCGCTGCCTCTCCCTTCTCGTCCCGGATCGGGTGCCGTACCGGTGCAGGAAGCGCTCGGTGCGGCCGGATCGAGCACGCCATTGGTATGGGAGCCGTTAATGCAGCCGTCAGCCGCCAGGGCGCCCGCCCGCGCGCATCGGCTGCGCGGCGCCCCGACGCTGCAGCAGCCGCTCCAGCGCAGCCCGACCCCGCCTACGTCGTGACCGGCCCCGTTGACGCGACCGAGGCCAGTCCAGCTGCATCCTCTGCTCTATTTCGTCCTCCCTGACCTTGCTTTGTCCTGCTACGGTGACCTAAAAAAAACCTATATCTCCTTTGCCACCTTTTCTCAGTAGTTCGTTTTGTTGTGGTTGCTTGATTGTACAAGAATGCAGCAAAGTTGCATCCAGTTAAATCGACGATGTTGTACAGCACCCAGCTGTACTTCACCTGCTCAGCTTGTATATCTATTGTTGCTATCCTTAGCATTACATGTAGTTTACTTTTCTTTTAAAAGAAAGATATCTTACCCATACGTCATACTGACAGATGACGTAGAAGCGGTGGGGAAGAAAGGAGCTACAATGAAGGTGCAAGCTGGATTCTACCGCAAACTCCTCCTTCCCAAGGGCAAGCCTACGCTTCTAACCCCAGAAGTCCTCAAGTAATTTCACGCTCACTGCATTGTAGTAATTTCACACTCACTGCATTGTAGCCCTTAGTTATCCCACACTTGCTTTGTAACTTATGTTATTTAGTTGCTGAGTTCCACATATTTTCCTTACCTGCAAATTCCACTCTCTATCAAATGATTCAGTGGCTGCTGACAATTGTAAAAACCTTATGACCTTCTCTATGATATGCTTAGTTTGACTCTGAGGTTTGGGACCTAGCAGTCTACGGCCTGTTCGGGAGACCGTATCGTATCGTAGATTATTTACTGCTGGCTGGTTTGATGTGAGAGAAAAACACTGTTCCCGGCTGAAAATTTACGATCGTTTACGAGCAAGCGAACAGGCTGCTAGATTGAGATAGGAATCCATGCACCTTTCTTCTAGAATTCTGGTAGTATATATTAAATGGTCAACACACATAATGTTTGATTGGATGTGTAAATAAGACTCTGAAAGAATTTCTTTCCTCTGCTTCTCTTTGCAGGGAAATGCAGCTACAACAGGAGAGAATAGAAGCTGAGAAGAAGCGGGTAACAAAAATATTTCACTCACTAATAAATGCAGTTGCAATTTAACCTCAGCCTCCTTTTTTTGCCTTGAGAGTAAACTTTATCCTTGCTGTCCTTATCAAAAGAAAATATAGTGCCTTTATGTCCTCCAAATTTGAAGTCCTAAGCATGATATGTTCATCAGATTCTATGAATGCCATTGGTGGGTTAGTACTTATCAATTTTTGTTGATAATTATGACCTTCAGAATTTCTCTACTTACATAGTTAAAAGAAGACGCACAACAACTTGCCCGAGTTTTTCAAACCATCGGCCCTTTCAAGATTCCTCGCAAAGGTGGAAAAGGAAAACAAATCTTTGGGAGGCAAGTTCTAAGTTGGATAATCCTTTATCTATTCTCTGTTGTCTTACTTTCTGTTTTCTGACAATATCCTTAATTGTACACAGCGTCACAGCGCAGGATGTTGTTGACATAATAAATTGACGACTTAATAAGTATAAGCACATGCTCCTAACTCCTAAGCAATCTTAATAGCATTTCTCATTGTTATTGCTTTTCTTACTGCTGGCATGCTGTGTCATGTAGGGATGTCGACAGGAAGCTGGTGACGGTTCCAGAAATCCGTGAAATCGGAGAGTATGTTGCAGAGATCCAGCTTCACTCCTATTGCCTCTACTTCCATTCTGTGTACGACCTTTTTCAGTGTTCTTATGTGGGTTTGCTCATAATGCCCAACACCCCTTTAAGTGTTGGACAGACTGCATCAGGTGCAATTTGCTGACAACCTATGAGTTATTTTAAGCCTATTAATAGTAGTGAAATGCAGTATTTGATTGTTCAGTGAATGAAAATTTGGTAGGCAATCTCTGTCATCAAATTTGCTGGTTTGTGTACTTCACCGTTACAGTTTTAGATTATCTTTTGTAGTGCTATACTAAATCAAATTATCAAAGGACGTAAAAACATGAAACACTACATGATATTTTTACTACTCAATCATGTGCTTGGGAGAGATGGCTACTCAGGATGATGAAAACTATGTACGGGTTCAATCCCACTGGGAATTCTGGATAGATGGACAGAAATATTTTCATCCTATAACTGGCCTCACAGATGTACCTGATTATGTATGTAACCTAAAAAATAGGGTGTCAGTGTTTGAGAGCGAGAATTTTTTTATAACATTACAATCTGATGAGTTCGGTTGCCTTCACAGACCCCTTAAGTTTGGATTTATGATTCCATGTATGAATGCCTTTTACATATGTTGTCCGATTCCGCCTTTGTATTGCACAACTTTATTTTGGTTGTAGGTGTAGATGGTTTTTGTTGCAATTGTGATAAAAGGAGCCTCTGTGCCACTAATTTATGGTTCCCAGATCTCTTCCATGCAGCCAAAGTATAGGAGAACAATATTGACATAATTCACGGTGACTGCATCCTCAGGTCTCCAATCCCAGCCCCAAATCCAAAAAATATTGCAATTGGATTTTACTTACTATTTCGGTGTTTGGTTCTTGGTATTTTCTGAAATATTTTTTAATTTCAGCACTAGACCTACATTTAAATTGGTCTGTGCTTTGGCATCTAGTGGTGCAAAAGCAGGTCCACCTGCAACAGTGATGCCCCTACAAAATAGTTAGGGTCAACCCACAGCTTCCAATTAAAATTAGTATAGTTGGATATGAGCACCATTTGCCTGCACTCCCACTCTCCAACTAATTAAAGAATCTACTCACATGTCTGCCTCTAAATTACATTAAAGAAAAGTTAATAACGAAGCTAGAAAGGAGGAACCTTGTCTATATCAAAGTGAGTTCCAAGAAGTTCAGTGAGATACAGTGAATACTGCATAGTTTCAGCTCACGTTGTTTTTGTTCGCTGCTAAAACCTACAGGTCTCGCAACTTAGAGGCTTTGGGCCAGTTTAGTTTCTACTGCTCTCAGCTGTTGGTTTTGCATGCAGTTTACCTTCTAAGCTTTGGCCAATTAAATTTCTACTGCTCTCAACTGTTGGTTTTGCATGCTGTTTTTTTGTACTTTGTTATCGATGATATTATTATCACAGGGAACTCTTGTTTGGTATATTTGAGTCTGGTTGCTTGAACTGGCCAATAATGTAGTAGGTATAGATCTTTGGACGTGTCTGTTTTATAATCTTTGATTCTATATACATGTACGGGTCAATTAATGATACACTTCTTATATTTGGATAAGGTGCACAGTTTAGATAACCGTTCAAGTTATCTGATCAGTCATCAGGCTGGTGAACTTTTATCAGAACACAGTAAACATACCTCTTGCCACAGCTATGTTTATGTTGCCCTTGCTTCCTCCTACCTTCCTATTCTAAAAATCTTTGACAGATTTAGTTTCTTAGTTCCTAAATTGATGCTCCAATTTGTGTGCACATTTTCTACAGGTTTCAGTATGCCACGAGGGCTTTAACTCAGCTTCGTAGCATTGATATGATTTCAGGTATGTTACGCCTGTCAGCTTTTTAGTAGTGTGGAAGTTCTTAATCACCAGTGTTAGCTTACAATGCTTTGTGTGGCCTTGAGGTCTTAAGACACAGCTCTAAAATTTGCATTGTAGATTGGTGATTACCACGCATAGAAAATGCCATGATTTCAAAAGTATGCAGAGTAGATGTGTCCTACCATTTAAAAAAAAGCTCCAATCTTTCAGTTTTTGTGCATGACATATCTACATTTAGCTCCTAATATTGTTTCCATGCAAAGATTAAACATGTTTTTACCAGCGCCTTAACCAGGTGATTTGCCGGTGCGCGCGAGGGAGCGCGTGATGGACTAGTACATACACCGCGAAAATATCTTGAGAAAAGTACACATTGCATGCCTAATCAGTTATCACGTCCAACGCCGCACCGCCTACGAGTACGCCTGTCGTCTTGTCCCTTCTTGAGTGGATGAACACGGGGGCGCCACGACAAACGCCCTGCACCAGCCTGCCTCGCCTTGCTTGCTCCAGAATCGTCTCCTAACTAATCGCTGCACTGCCCAGTACCGATGGCGGGAGCTTCGGCTTGCCACTCCCCGGATCTGTGCACAGACGACGGCGAGCATGCCGTTCCCGACGCTGGCACCACCGACATCCCCGTCGTCGACTTCGATGCCCTTGTCAATGACGCGTCCGACCAACGGGCGTAGGCGGTCCGGGACGTCGGTCGGGCGTGCCAGGACCGGGGCTTCTTGATGGTACGCATGCCATGCTGTTCCTCTTGCTAGCTACACGTACAAGAACCCCGACTCCCCGGCCGTATCGATTCGCTAATATAATAACGAATTCTCCTCGGTCTGGCACGACATGGAAGGTGGTCAACCACGGGTGCCGGAGGATCTGGTCCGCTTATTACAAATACGCCGTCTGACCTATCTAACTAAACTAACCCCTCAGGGGATGATTTCGTCCTCTATCTTAGCAGAAAGGTGGTGGCCCCTTCTCGATGTCGTCCAGCTCGGCGTCAGTATAGACGGGCGCGAAGCCTTGGCTCATCGTCGCTAGATCGATGTTCTCGTAATGAGAATGGGCGATCGCGAACGATCGGTGAACGCCAAAGCGAAGCGCGCCCCTTGCCATATCATGTGCCCGGTCCATGATCCGGGTGGCGCGAACCGCGAGCGAGCTTGTCTCCTACTCCGGGGCTAGCTCGAGCTCGTCATAGACCAGTTGGACGGTGACACGTAGGTTGTTGTGTTCGTCGCTCTCCTTCTGGAGGGTGTCCTTCACCTCATGGAGCTCCTTCTCCAGGCCACGACTCTTCACCACCTCCGCCCCGAGCTTGTCGTCGAGACCTACCCAAGTCACATACCGATCGTATCAAAAGGCTCGCCATGGATTAAAGGGAGAAAGACAACAAGGGAAACCAGAGACTTACCGTTCATGTCCGCCCGAAACCTGCACACCTCATCGCGCTGCTGGGTCACCTCGGCCTCTAGGTGCCAGACCTCTTCTTGGCACTGACCGACCTCCATGGTGACCCCGGCGGACACGTCCTCGCCTACAACCTTCAGGTCCCTCTCCCTCTGAAGCACATCCTCGAGGTGGTTGATCCGTTGCTGAGCGTCGGCTTGCTCCTGGCGAGCCAGGTCAATCCCTGTGCGGAGCTCCTCTACAGCCCAGAGCAAATCGTCCCGCTCCTTTCGTAGCCGCTCGGCCTCCACGGCGTCCGTGCGCGCCCTCTTGATTAGGGCCATGAGCTTCTCCTCGGCCTCGGAGGCGTCATCGCGAGTGTCCTTCTCCCTGACTCGGAGGTCGGCCACCTCCCGGACGGCAGGGGCAAGCTCAGCCACCTCTTTACGGGCGACAGTGAGCTGTGCGGCTAGCCCCTCACTCCAACGCGTCTCCTCAGCAAGGAACTGGGACTTCTCCCGGCTGCGGGCTATAAGGATCTGCGAAGAAGACAAGACTTAGAGGTGCGGAAAGAGAACATGAGGATCGAAAGCATGGTCATATCATACCTAGCCAACCGGGGCGACAATGTCGCGCATTAAGCTCACCATGGTGGTCAGGGCTTGAACCGCATCCCCAACCTTCGTATGGACGCTCCCCATTCCCTCTCCTCTGCTGCTTCATCGAGGGCAGCCACCCGGACCAGAGACCGGGATGCCCCCGCGCCGACCTCTCTTGCAGCGGTAGCTCCTCTAGCCATAGAGGGGGCGGGTTATTGTAGACACGGAGGCCTGCCCTATCGCCACATCTGTAAAGGATGCCTCGGGTGCGCCCCTTCCGTCCATCCCACCATGGACATAGCCACCTGCACGGACGATAGCTTTAGCCGTGCCGCCTCTGCCTACAACGTCGAGGACACGACCGGCCGCGCGCGCGCCCGCCGCGGGCGCCCCGGACGTGCCCTCCTCCACCTGCTCTCCCATGGACGCAGCCACTAGCTGCGTCTCCCCGGTCGACGCCATGGCCGCCCCAACGCCACTCACGCTCACCACCGACGCAGCGCCAGCAGGCTCCTGGCACGTTTGTCGGAGGAGGATCTTCTTCGGAGCGAGCTGCAAGAGAGTCCCACGTCCTCCGACGCTGCAAGGGACATGGTGGTCAGTTCGTGGCAAAAATTCTTTAAGACAAAAGGATGAAAAAACTCTAGACTCACTCTGACGTCATCATGCGAGGACGTTTTGGGGTCGGCTTGCCCGACCTCGGCTGCTCCTCGTCGACACGTTGCAGCTTCGATCCCTCCCTTGGCTCGAAGGGCTTGGACGAATCAGAACGGCCGCCTCCCGCCAACTTCGAAGGCGCCGTCGAGGGCTCGAACGGAGCGGGATGACCTGTTTCTGCTGGTTTCGGGGCCGCCGTCGAAGGCCCAGACGAGGCGAGGCGGCCTGATTCCATCGGTTCCAAGGCCACCGTCGAAGGTCCGGACAGGGCGAGGCGTTTTGATTCCGCCGGCTCTAGGGGCGCGTCCTCCCCCTCCTGCCCCATGGCATGCTGCAGGTAGGGCCCCGCCTACGGCGATGGTGGGTCCTCATCCCCGACGGCCAGATCATCCCACGAGATGGGGGACATGGAGCCGTCATCCTCCTCCTCTTCTTCCTCCTCCTCTTCTTTCGATGAAAATTGACACCGCTTCCCTCGCTGTAGCTTCGCTCGCTACTTCGACCGTTGTTTCTTCTCCTCTTCGTCCTTCTTCTTCTTCCTTTGTTCATCCACGGCACGGTTCGCCGCCCTCACGGCTGTGTGCTCTAGCAGCGGTGCGACAGAGTCCCGGAAGACTAACCCCGCTGGCAGCTTGATGAAGCCCGCATCCGGCCGCATCATGGGATGTCCCGAGATCGGGAACACGGCGTCAGCCTCCCCCGTGGCGTCCTTGATGCGCTATGTGACCTCACTATCATGGAGCAGCCCCTGGGCGAGCGTCGTCCCAAAGAGCTGCGCGTCGAGCGTCATCCTGTATAGCGGGAGAACGCGCGCCATCAGGGGCGCCACCCTCCTCGCGTGATACCCCCCGATGACGTTGGCCCCGCGGAGGCCATGGGTCTTCAGGAACGCGATGGCCTCAAGGAGGTCGCGCATCCTCTTCTTCTCTTTGCGGGTGCCCCCCACGTCCATGACAGCGGTACCTCTTCGACCAGGCACTCGGAGATGATCAGCAAGAGAGCGGCATGGTCGTTCTTTAGGTAGAACAAATACGAGTGCCACCCCTTGTTGGATCTAGAGAGCTGACAGGGCATGTACTCGGCCGCCCGCTGCCCCCGGAGGTGGATGCCCATGCATCCCATCGGCATCGGGGTCTCCTGGCCTCTCTCCTTCTTCTTGATCAAGGAGATAGAGAAGAAATATCTCCACAGCTCGAAGTGGGGCTTGATCGCTAGGTACCCCTTGCACATCACGATGAAGGCCACGATGTGCTAGATCCTGTTGGGGTTCAGGTGCTATAGCTCGATCTAATAGTAGTGCAGCAGACCCCGGAAGAATGGGTGGGAAGGAACCACGAGTCCGTGCTCGTGGAAGAGCACGAAGGAGATGACGTAGCCGTCGGGCGGCGTCGACGCATCCTCACGGCCGGGCATGAGCCACTCCGCCGCATCGGTCCTCCCGTAGAGAATACCATGCTTGACGAGTCCCTCCATGCACGCAAGGGTAACGTTGGAGTGGTACCATGAATCCATGGAGGATGGAGGCGGCTGTGGAGAAGTAAAGGCGGTGGCAGAGAAGCGGAAGCTACAGATCTAGGGCTCCGGTGGTGGATTAGCAAGCACGGCAGATTCGAATGGCGACGGCGGAGAAACAGAGAAGGTAAGGCTGTGGTTTTGGTGTGTAGAAACATGAAGGGGGAGGCCGCTATTTATAGGACGGAGTGGGGCGAGAAGGCGAACCGTCCGCCTAGATTCACGCGCCTGCCGCGCCGCTTCACGTCACCTCCCTCCGAAGATCATACGCACGCTATCTCTGGCTGCGCCCTCGAAGGACACACTGGATGATGGCTCGTCCGGTCAATGGGCTAAGAACCATCACAGGTAAGGAGGGATACAGAGCTAAAAACGCTCCTACGTCCCATTCAGGCTCGGGAATTCGAAGACTGGCTCACCGATGGGTTCAGAGCTGCTCCGGGGCACCCTTAGAGCAAGGGGTGGAAAGGGATGGGCCCACTAGCAGCTAGTGCCCGGGCGCACGAGCATCGCGGGCATCCCGACCCACGTTCGAGTCTTATTTAGTTCCTAGTCCGTGGTTTTTTATCGAAGAAAGGCAAAGAGCCCTTGGGACTGGCCGAACAGACCCAAGAACTATATGGATTGCCGCCAAGAGTCTGGAGTCGGTCACCAGCTGACCCATGCCTGACCCCCATGAACAGGAAGACTAGCCCGTTAACTGCTCACCGAGCACCATGTTTCATCCACCAAGGAAAAACGTGGCACGGCTCAGCCCCTCCGTTTTATCGAAAAAATGCTTAAGGGATGACGATCACAAAGACGAGCCGACCCTCGACCGGACCTCTGCTATGCACGGGGGCTCGAGGGAAGTTGGACTCACAAGGAGACCAAACGCGCGATCGCAGGACGACGGCGGTCCGATCGGATCCTAGGGGACCGGAATTAAGAACAATCTTTCCAACCTCCCGAATCCTACGGTTACATGCCCACAACAAGACCAATCACGATAAAAAGGAATCGCCGTCCTACCAAGACACGCCACGGGCTAAAAAAAGAAGGCCAAGGCCCTCAAAGTCCTCCCGTCCAGAAAAGCCTCCATAGGAGTATTCTACTCCTCCGCAGGCTCGGGGGCTACTGTCGGGTATCGTTATTAGGGATACCCAAAGCAAGAAAGTTAGCGCCCACGCTGACTCTCCCGGATGGCTCGAGACGTATTAAAAGATCTCGCCCAACCCCCAAGGCCACGGGCTCCGTCTCGTCCGACCCCTCGGGTCACGGGCTCCGTCTCGCCCAACCTCGAGGCTGCGGGCTCCGTCTCGTCCAACCATAAGGACGCGGTTTTCATCTCGTCTGACCCCTTGGGTGCGGGCTCCGTCTCCCCCAACCTCGAGGCCGTAGGCTCTGTCTCGCCCGACCCCTTGGGTGCGGGCTCCGTCTCGCCCATGGTCGTGGGCTCCGTCTCGCCCGACCTCAAGGACGTGGGTTCCGTCTCGTCCGATGGGGACCCATACCGCCGCCAACCACTCCAGGTCCAAGCGTATGGGCCTGGGTCAAAACTCTGACGCCAGAGAAGAGGCTAGCACTTCTCGATGTAACCCGTGGCCATGACGGGCCATACCTAGGGATTCACATCAAGAACAGTGTCGGACGTGCCAGTGCTGTTCTGCCTAATCCTAGTACGGACGCTGACATGCGCGTCAGTTCACCATGACGTCCGCCGGTACGGAGTGAAACGCCATGACCGACAGATAACGCCTGTGCATGGCGCTAGTGACGAACAAGACCGCAACATGGAGCCGTCCTTGTTGACATCTATAGGATCGGCGGGACCCGTATGAAGGAGAAGAAGAACCCGGCAACCCTGGAAGCATTCTTATCTCTCTCGTTCTTCTCCTTTTCCTCCTATGTAACCCGCGCTTTCCATTCGTCTATAAAAGGGGAAGCAGGACGCCCCATACTAAGGAGAAAAAAGACAAGAGATCGAAACACAAGAGCACGACACAATCACACGGTTGAACGGCAATCGAGCTCTCAACACCCGTTCACCCCTTCCACCAGAAACTTGGGATCCTTTTCCTCTCTCACCTGTTTTACTGCAAATTAAGTGCCGGTAACACGAGCTGCAGCGAACTGAATGTAGGGACGTTCAGCTCGAACTAGTATAACCCCTTGTCCTCCAAGCATACCATTCGAGCCAGACGCGTAAATACGGTGATCCGAAAATATACTAGCCCCAACCATTCACTTCCCCTCGACCCACACTGCAATAGTGTCGCCAGCGATCGAATCAACTACGAGAGTGGAAGCAAAGCAAGACGGTTCACTCGGCACCCATTTGAATTATCTAGGGCTTAATTGTTGCAGTAGACTCATGGCAAGAGATAAACAGCACAGCTTCACAGCTCTCCGCCTCCACTAAGTATGATTACACAAATTAGCGGAGAAGGCGTAATTCCAGACCGTCGTAGACGTAAAGGTGAGCCCGTCAGCCATGACGCAGATCGACGGAACACGAACGGCGTGATCAAACGCTCATAAAGACCAACCCCTCTCCGTCACGACTCGTCAGTCGTCACCGCAAGGGGGTAGCTGCCGGCCTGCCGTCACCGCCTTCGCCGCCGCGTGCGTTTCTCGAACGTTCCGGTGGCCTACAAATACCCGTTCCCCAAGGCCGGCGACGCCGACGCGGTCACGCCTCCCTCCGCCGGCTGGTTCACGTGCTCGACGACGGCGAGCGAGTGCGTACAGGACGTCGGGCGCTCAATCCGTCCACCCGCAAACTCGATTCGCTCGATTGAATGATTTAAATCGAATCAGCGGCTGTTCGGTGGCCGGATGGTGGTTCTCGTTCCTGGGGAGGCGAATTCCGCCATTTCGACCTTATAATAATTGGGGCTGGATTTAGTTGTTTGGCTATAGTTCGGCTCAAGGGTAATTTGTTAGATATAAAACTGGATTGCTCATTTTGGTTTGATTGGCTAGATGATGTTTATTAGTCCTACTAGATTAGATGCGCTTGAGGTTTCGAGCTCTCTTTTTTCATGACTAATTCCCTAGCTTCCTTCCTTGCCAGACGGATAACCTGATCAGTAGCACTGTCACATTCTTTTGGGTAATCCGAGGAATTGATAGCATGAGGTGGTTCTCGTATCAGGAGCACGATGGAAGGGAGCAGGATAGTTCGGATTTCAGTCACCTGGAGGGGCATACAGCTCGATATCGTTGCAGATCCAAGCTGCACGATGAAAGAATTTGGGCAACTGCTGCAGGACTTGACTAGTGTTAAGCCAGAGACATTGAAGCTCATTGTTCCGCAATCTACAAACAAAGGCTCCGAGCTGATCACGCCATTTTCGGATCCGCATTCGAGATTGACTCTGAATGAAGCGGATATTAGCGAGGTAAGATGTGGCTATTGGCTAGCACGCGCAATTCGCATACTCATTGGCGTGTCGCTTGCTAGTGGATATTGTAACGGCGGCTGGCGGGTGAAATCATTGTGACTGGATCTTTTTTTTCGTGATACAGGGAAAACCTATCCGGATGATGGGGGTTTATGATGATGAAATGAAATCGAGGAGGAGGAGGTATCTGACAATGGCAAAAGACCTGACCAACGTATAATTGGATTTGATGAAGAAGAACAGCGGCTTAGGCAAAGATCATCAGGCAGGCCACAGATTTCGCTCAAACTTCCTCAGGGACAATACATCTTCTGTGATTTTCGGACACTTCACTTACCTGGGATTGAGGTTAGTCAACCCCCCTGCTCCCACCTGCTTTGTAATGCCTGGTGCCTTGCAGATGTTCCAGTTTTCCTTTACAGTGCCTTGCTTGAATTTACACTCTTCACCTCCCTCAATAGGTTCATTTGAGCAGTATGTACTTTAGCTATTGGCTAATGGTTTAAGGAACTACATCAGTGTATTTTTGCACAAAGTTCTGTCTAGGACCGCATGTAAACACTGGGAGCTGAAAAAAGGTGCTAATTGCTTTCTAGTGTCAACAATAAAATGGTTTTGGTTGTAAAACCTTGTCTAGAGCATATTTGTGCAAGTACACACATTTCTAATTTGTATGACCTTGTATGTGCAATCAGGCTGTTTTGACTTAAGCTTCTGTACCTGTTTACTTACCTTTTCCCTGCCAGCTGAATCCTCCTCCACCTTCGGAAGCTCTGAAACGAATGCACATGCTTGCATGCGACCCTGGTATAATTGCGATCATGAAAAAGGTAATGGCCTTCAAGAAGTAATCCTATGCTTATTAACAGAGTTCCATCATTTTTATTTGACTTCATTATTGTTGTTTTCAGCATAAATGGAGAGTCGGAATCATGACTGAGATGGCTCCTGTTGGCTATGTAGGCGTTAGTCCGAAATGTATTTTAGGTTTCAATAAGGTGAACGTAAACTGCTACAATTTGTATATAATAGAAAAAAGTAGTGCATTAGTTTCTGAAAATATACTTGTGGGTCTTATGCAGAACATGGGAGAGGAGATATCTCTTCGCCTACGAACTGATGACTTGAAGGGATTCAGGAAGTACGAAAGTATCAAGAAAACTCTACTTCATGAGCTTGTATGTAATTTTTGGCTTTGCTAAAGATTTCCCTTATAGTTTTTGTTCACTGCATTGGGTCTTTTGTATCTTACGCTGAGTGCCTATATTGCAATTGCAGGCACATATGGTGCACTCTGAGCATGATGCGAACTTTTTTGCTCTTAATAAGCAGGTGTTTCCTAGATACTCCCATCACATTCGGTTGCCCTCTCTTTACATTTGAGTTTATTCAATCTTATATTTGCTTTAATATCTGGCAGTTGAATGAGGAAGCTGCTTCCATGGACTGGACCAAGTCTACAGGTCATATGTTGAGTGGTCGCAAAATCTTCGATTCATATGAAGAGGAATTTGTTCTAGAACCAGAGATAACTGTTGCTGGTCACAGGCTTGGGGGAGAATCAAGTTCGCTGGCTAGTGCTCGTGCATTGTCAGGGGCTGCTGCTTACCATCGTTTTTTGGATGCATCTGCTAAGGCGGATCATGATGCTTCAGGCACTAAAATTGAATATAATCCTGATGATGTTCCTCAAGATTTTGTTCATGAAACTTTGAAGGTAGATCCAGATCCAGATGATGCTATGCATGTGGATTCAGCAGCTGGGATATCATTGGCAGGACAGCCTACTATCAGTTACTGTGAGCCTGATCCTGATGATGTTGAGAAGCATGAGAAGCAAATTTCTGATAGATGCCTACAACCTGATCCTGTTGATTCCTCAAATGCTAATAATCTGAACCAGGAGCTGAGGTTTGATGGAAGACACCATAGCGAACCTGATCCTGATGATGGTACTAATGAAGTTGTTCCGGAATCTGGAAAAAAGATGGAAGTGGATAGTGAACTGGCAAACAGCATCGCAGTTTTAAAGTATGAATCTGACCCTGCTGATTCCTCAAATGCTATTGTCAACCAGGAGTTGGTTATCGATGGGAAGCATGGTGAAGAACCTGATCCTGATGATACTGCTTGTCAAGATGTTTTAAAATCTGGAAATGGGACAGAAAGGATAACAGAACAAAGCGTAAACTCCACAGTTTTGAAGTCTGAACCTGATCCTGACGATCATGTTGTTGATTCAAACAGCAATGAGCTGCAAAGGATTGAAGAACCAGTGGCAGCCCTCTGTTCACGACTCCAGAAGTCCATTGAGACGCTCCGGTTGCAAGCAACACCTACAGAGGCAGAGTCTGCTATTCAAACACTTTTTAAGATCATCAAGATTGTTATAGAGCACCCAAATGATATTAAGTATAAGAGATTGTGTAAGGTATACTTGGTTGTTCTCATTTCTCATTATTCTTGCATATTATGATGCATGTCATTTGCTAAAGCAAATTCTCACAAATCCTTCTCATTTCCCACATTTGCAGTCCAATCCACATTTCCAAAGGAGTGTAGCAAACTATAAAGGTATTACTGTTTGCCCCACCAGTAGCCACTGCTTACTAGATTCTTGAAATGTATTCTATACTGATTGCTTAATCTCTTTTACTCCAAAATCAGCTGCAATGGAGGTTCTTGAATTGATTGGCTTCTGCGAGGATGTGATCTCAGACGAGGTTGGGCGTGCAGAGACTTACCTGGTATTGAAAAGGAATGATCCTGGATTGCTATGGCTGGCAAAGTCCTCTCTTGAAGTCTCTCTGACTTGATAAAATTTGATACATCATGGTTGCTATTTTTCGTTGTGAATATATTTGATTATTTGAACAAGAGAACTTAGCTATTGGCATGCACCATTTTCCCGTATAGGGACTGTTGTATACTTGTATATGAATACACAAGAATGCAATGCCACTTTACTTTCTGCTCGTTGTTTGCCATATCTGTGCCTTTGTCTTGGATGGCTTTCACTCCCATGTGATGTACAGAAAGATACCGAGTTTCACTGATTCAGGAGTTCATTGTACTTGAATTGCCAGATTATGCTGCATTTGAAACAGACAGAAGGAGCAATTTTTTTTTTTACTGCAAGCTTCCTATATTCCATCTCTTCTGCTCTTGATAAGCAGACACTTGGTATTTATAATGCAATTATTTTTCTAGTGTCTTCTTGCAAGATTTTAGTCTGCCGTGTGCGTAGTTTTTCTGAGGGATGGAAGAAGGGAATGGTGCAAATGGCAGCCATTCTTAGAGAGGCCTCCCAAATAGTAAAGCCCTGCCGGCCTTCCTCCGTTTTGATTTCTTGTTTCTCCATTTAAGTACTGGGTTTGGGTCGCCAGATGATCTTGAAGCAACCAAGGTTGCTTCTTGTTTTTATCTCCCTTTCCAGTCTGTTTTAAAAAATATACGAGGAAGATGGGTTGATGGCTCGTCGTCTGGGCAATCTGTGCGTTTCCCATCCACAGATTGTGGTCGACGATGCCTACATTTGGAACATCCAGCCTAATTGCACTGGTACAAATTCTTGGTATCAGTTCTGAAATACAGGACGGGTCTACAGTAGGACACCATAGAGAATAGGGTGGAGTGGCAAGGCAGCACATGCCTGCTGGCTGCCCCTGGTTGTGATTTTATCATGATCGAAGAAATAAATTGCACTTAACCAACAAACATCAAAGAACAAGTACACAAAGCTCACAACGATTTTATTAGGATTGAAGATCTAAGAACTATAGCAGCTACATGTTCCATAATAATATCCAAAAGAGAATAATAATGTTAGGCTAGAACATGAACTCATCGTGGATAGGCGCCTGACAACAACATTTCTTCTTCCGTAGTGTATTGTCTACTTGCTTCCATAGTAAGTCCTTCAATTGAAATATAAGGAGCAACAATTTGATCCTTTTCATATCTCTTTGTTGCTATATTATGATGAGTATGCTTCTTCGTGGTTCTCAAGTTTTCTAGTGTCATCTCAACTTCCCGCATTGTAGGCCGATCTTCTCCATTCAATTTTGTACACATTGCTGCTAGCTTGGCAACTTCTTCAACCTTTTCAACCTCTGCCTCTTCCATGATTTGAGGATCTATTATGCCAACTAGGTCACCTTCAGTGACTAGTGATGCGAAATGTGAAACAAGGCTGTCACCATCACTAGTCCGCACAGTTGGTCTCTTTCTAGTAAGTAATTCTATAAGAACACCACCAAAACTGAAAACATCACTCTTATCTGTTAGGCGGGATGTATAATAATACATTGGGTCTAAGTAACCAATGGTTCCTTGAATGGCCATAGTCACTCCACTTTGATCAATTGATATGTGCCGTGAAGCCCCAAAATCTGATACCTTTGCTGTTAAATTGTCATCAAGAAGTATATTAGATGACTTGATGTCTCTATGAAGTACTGGTGTTGAAGCAGCTGAATGTAGATACGCTAGAGCTTTGGAAGTTTCGAGGGCAATCCTCATCCGATCATCCCACGGGAGTGATATGTTTCCTTCAACATGAAGATGATGAGCAAGAATGCCATTTGATATACCTGCAGTGGAACTTCTGTCTCTAAGCAACACCCAAGGAGTTTGACAATATTCCTGTGGTTGATTTGGGAAAGAATTGCAACCTCATTTATGAAATCATCAATTTCTTTTTGTACTATGATCTTTGATTTCTTAATGGCCACAACTTGCAGGTCTAGCACTCCCTTATAGACTATACCATGCCCTCCACCACCAACTTCATGAGATGGATCAAAATTGTTTGTAGCCTTCTCTAGCTCTCCCAAGGTAATGATCATTCTTTCATCAATATCTAACTTCTGTGATACCAATTGTTGGAGTAGAAGCCCATGATTTTGCTTGAAAAATCTTTGTTTTGTCTTTTTAACCTTATGCTGCTTGATTTTACGTGCCAAGATGGGTGCACCAATTGCCAAAAGCAAAAAAACCGTGCCACCGCTGACAGCTAGCCCGATTTTCAACACTGAAATGTATGGTTTAAGAGGCAATATCATAATTTGGATTCAGCTAGAAAGCATGTTCAGTAGAGAGAAACAATTTGTTAGTGATTATTTCGAACTACTGCAGCCTATAGAAATATGTGATTAATAAGCACCTTATACTAATCAGGTATATATGTTTTGGGTATAGAGATACAAATTAAAAATCAAGTTACTACAGATGTTACACATAAGCAGCATGTCACCTGAGAGGGAGCTGCAACCCCCTTATGTGAAGGGGTCTGCGTAGGTTCCTTGCTTACATCGGCAATGGAAAGTTCCAGGCATATTTATGCAAACCCCGTAACATGAGTGAAGCTCTGGATGAGCACACTCGTCGACATCTGAAAGGTACAGCATGGTTAAAATATGAACAGGTTGCATACTATTGGAGAACTGATCGAGCTATATAAATTAGAGATGGGTAGTAAAATTTATGAAAATATTTGCAAGGAAAATGAATAGAAAAGCAACCTAGATAGATAAGAACTATTTAAGGTATAGTATAGCCATGTGAGAATCAATTCTTGGACACATAACTTTCTAGTAGCTGTTTCCTTGAGAATATGTACATATGGTTGGCTAGTGCGAGTTCTGTAATCTGTATGGCCTTAGCGCAATTAACCAGAGAATCGGGAGGCACACTGGCGAGTGGTTTCAAACTCTTATCCCATCCGTTTTCATATCACACTATTAGAGAACAGACCTTTCATCCGAAGTTAAAATGGGCTCTAGTCCCGGCATTTTTTTGCGTCCGGGACTAGAGAGACCTTTAGTCCCGGTTGGTGTCTCCAACCGGGACTAAAGGTCCCTGCCCAACGGCTACTGCGCTCGGCACAGTGGCAGGGGACCTTTAGTCCCGGTTGAAAACACCAACCGGGACTAAAGGTGGACCTTTACTCCCGGTTGGAGCCACCAACCGGGACTAAAAGTTCTCCAACCTTTAGTCCCGGTTGGTAACACCAACCGGGACTAAAGTTCCCCCGATGGGTTAGTTCAAAAGGGAAGCATCCCATCCATTCTTAGATGTGTTGTGTAGGTGGGGTGGTAAGCTACGCGCGAGGCAATGCATGAGGTCTTGGGTTTGAATCTCACGGGACGCAGCGGTGGGAGGCATTATTTTTTTTAAAGCTGGGAGGGCCTTTAGTCCCGGTTGGTGTTACCCACCGGGACTAACCCGGGACTAAAGGATAGGGTGGGGAACCGGGACTAGAGGGGGTTTCCCACCGGGAGTAAAACCCGTCTCTGTATTAGTGTCAGCTTTGTTCTAATAAATCAAATATTTAAATATTTCTATCTTTGACTATCAATTTCAATTTCAAAAAAAAAAAATTGTATACGTTAACAACATAAGATGATTTATGTTTGTAGATTTATTATGAGAAATACTTTCATGCATGATATATAGTTTACATGTTATGAAACTACATAGATTCTTTGAAATTGATAGCCAATCATAGAAAGGTTTGACTTTAAACAAACTTAATACGATATATACAGAAAACGGAGATAGTATTTGTGATAGTTTACAACCTTTGCATCCACTTGGTAGAGTAGCGTTGCCCACGAAGCCAGGAGGGCACAGCCACTGATAGCTCCCTTGAGTGTTGTTGCAGACGCCATAACAGGGGTATGCCTTTGGATCCTCGCACTCGTTGACATCTGAACCAATGCAAGGGCGAGACACTAACGCCTTCACACATTGATAGAAGTCGATAGCAACAAAGAGTGGAAACAATGATAATACTAATGAGCATGCATATGCATATATTTACCTTTACATCCGTTGGGAATGTAAGGGTTGCCCTGGTAGCCATTGGCGCACAAGCAGATATGCGCCTGTCGTGTACCATCATCAGTGTCGTTCCCGCAGAAGCTGTGGCTGCTGCGGCACGCCGCCGAGGACCCATTGCTGTGGCACGTCGTGTGGTTGATCGACCAGTCCAGCACCGAAGGAAGGCTTCCCCCCGACGATTTTGCTATTGCTATCACGTCATGCAAGCTCAACTCCGATCCACTATCCAGACCATGGCTTGCGAATTGGGGCCTGCCACCCCGTTCGTCGACAGGACCTTGAACCCGTAGGAGCTGCGCTCCTTCATGACATTGGCCTGGCAGCAGTAGATGCCGGAGCACTCGTATGTGAGACCAGGATATGACCAGCTCTGCCCGTGCTCGTCCCAGTGGCAAAAGGTAGAGCAGGTGCTCAACAAGGTTGTATTATTGGGACCCCCATGGCCATCCCCCTCGAGGAGGAGGACCTGGATGTTGCACCCGACCGCCAACAGCCTGTTCCTTCTACCCAGGATATACACTCCGCCCTTCCCGAGAGCGCCGCTCCATGTACCACTTGCTATGGGATTGGGACCGAGGAGATTTTGGTCCTTACCACTGCTGCTGCCGGGGAAGTAGGCGAAGCCGGCGTTGATGCGTACCGTGGCGTTGGCGATGGAGATGTTCAGCACCTCCACCGTGCCGTCGCCCAGGAAGCTGTTCCTGCAGGTGACGTTTAGGCCGGGGAGGTAGCACCCGGGCTCCACGCCGAACGGGTGTGGGATGCTCAGGTTCCCACACTGGCTGGTGCAGCCGGGCAACGCTACATCGGCCGCCGCCGCTGTCGGCCGTGGCCGTGGCAGCAGCAGCAGCGATGCAACCACGTCAGCGCCCACGAATAGCGCCACTCTCCTGCTCATCTCCAAGGTTGTAAACTCCTCTTGTTCTTTGCTCTTCCAACACTGGTGCTCCGAGTGAAGGAAGGTGAAGCTACC